ATAGTTAGTGGTTTGAAAAGTGAATGTGATCTTCGTTTTTGTTAACATGCAGTTTGACGTGCGTTCACAAACTAACTGGTTAGGAGGTTGTCCGTCGTAAGAGACAACTAACAGCATGACTCTAAAAATGGCGTGATGATGAACTGCGCGGCAGTTAGGTACAAAGAATGACTTGCGCGGAACCTCCCTTATTCCCTCTACCCACATCCATCAACTTCCAGTGGCAGAGCAACTTCAAGACGACGGGCGGAGGTGTGTGCGGACCCCGCGCGCGTCCCCCACCGGCTGTTCTCTGCACCCACATGGGCCAGACCAAAGTGGGTGTCTTGGATCCCCTAACGAGGAAAGTTGCGATTAAAGCAGCTTTACGAGGCTTTTTAGCTTGTTGGATAGCCGGACTATCCCGCCAGTTGGTCAGTTCGAAGTTTAGAGGTACGTTTGATCACTCATGGTAATTGAGGCCGGGTGTTGGATTCGTGTTAGAGAGACCTCATCCCCATGAATAGCAGACGTCCGAAGATGAGATTGGGTGCACAGGCCGGTGTGACTTGAAGTCTCCATCTAACGCCTACCCCAAACAAACACGCCTACGACGTCTCGCGCACCATTCCAGCGTTGCATGATGGGTGAAGCTTCGCAGACTGGTGTCACGTGCACATGTATACCACTGTGTCACTATCGTCTGAATATGGGAAGCATTACTGGCAGCTAAAGGGGGGGAGTAAACCAGTGTTAGCCAGAGCGCCTGTCGGTGTTTCTCCGGAAGAATTTTTGATAGATTCGTAGATTTTGAAGGAGACACGATCGGTGGGACAAGAGTTTTATTAACCTGACGTTTCGAATTCCTGCTCGAACCCATCATCAGAGACAAAAGCAGATACGGGTAGTTCATGCACAAGGGGCTGCAGTATTTATAGGATGCAGTAGCCATGCTACCGCATACCTATGAACATTCACGGCTCCCCCCTTCATCCGGGATCGTCGCCCTTGCTGTGGTAATCGTTTGACGGCCGACATTTGCGTAGTTAATTGCTGCAATTTCATCACGTGCGTTGGATGTTGGTGTGATGATTGCTCGACCATCTAACGCGCTGACCCCGGTGTTGGGAAAAGTGCTCACCTGTGCGCTCCCCGCGTGGCTAATTACTCCGCCTAGGCGAAGTCTCAGCATCGAGTATGGAAGGGAAAGTTCATTGCACTTGTTAATGGACTGGGGGCCAGTAAACCATGATTCAAGTAGCTCGTTTTTTCGCTTCTATTGGCAGATTCGTAGATCCCGATCAGACTGGTGTTCAAGTGGATTTTTTGGTCAGAGTGGGACAGAGTACCAGTTTTGCCGGTGCCTGCCTTCTGCCTTCACCCTTCTACTAGGTGATGAGGTTTCTAGCCGGAACGAACCGAGACTGGAGCTTGATGTTTCAGCAAGAGATGGGACGGGCTGCTCCGGTTATAATGGCGATATGTTGTATGGAGTGATACTGTCGTGTTAACGTTGCGATAAATCGACAGTTGATCCAGACCTTGAGCGCGCATTGTCATTGGGGACATGCCGATAAGCTGAACGTTGACATTGCCGGTCCTGTTTACGCGTCACCTCGACGGAGAAGATGGTGGTCTGACACCGACCGACACCAAATTCTGACTTCACAGTACCCCTTATAAGTTTCGGAGAAAATCATCTCTCAAAGTTGCAAAAAGTTCATGCACCTTAGGAGTGCGATTTTGAGAAACATCGAGTTTACCGACGAAGTCGCAAGTCGAATCGCCAAAGTCAGCCAAGCCTTCAATTGGCCCAAGCATCCTGTCTGGAACCGTCACTGTATATTGCTCAATAGTAAACTGAGGATGCACAGAGAGGTTGTCCTGACAACGCCAAAACACGGTCAGGAGACTTGGCTGATGAAAAAGGTCAAGCAATGATTCAGACTCTTGCCTGGGACATGGCGATAGCGTCCTGTGGGTTTCATCGGTCGTTTCAGGAAGTGATCTGTATGGTGGAAAATCCAGAGCCTCCTCGGCTGTGGAGGTCGTCCAGTAGCTGCTACTGCTGTGTCCCCTTTCATGTATTTATTTACTCTTGGCTCTGTAAGCCACCTTTCCCAATCTCAATAGCAGCTGGTTGACTGGCTCGGATAATCGACCAGTGCACAGTAAGGAGAGGAGATAGTGACGTCGACTCTCAACGCATATTCCACCCTGTAAACAATTTGACGTGAAGAAGAAGAGTCGAGCACCGGAACACTTTGTTTATTGTCCTGAGCTTTCAGACTCGTACAGGAGTCAATCGTCCGAGATGGTGGCAGCAACAGAACAACTGACAGTTATAAAGAATGTAGGCCAATCATCGACCGACGATGCAAGACTGGAGGTGACTGCGCAGGGCCCTGTACGCCGGCGCCAGATCGATAAATCGATTGACTGAGTCCTCATTCGAGGCCCAGGTTTCAGTCACTTCTCGGCCTGTTTTGCTTCCGGTGTGGGCGACTATTTTGGTGGCTGCGAGGTTTAACTCGTGACCCATTTCGTAGGTGTGGGCGGCCACTTGTGATAATGCGTCGCCTCGTCGCACAGCCAGCTTATGTTCGTGTATGCGCGATCCGAGCATGCGCCCAGTCTGTCCTGTTTGTTACAAGGGCAATTTCGACACGGAATACGATACACTACTCCAGACTGCTCTTCGGGCTTTAACCGCTCCTTGATTTTCATGACCTTATTGCGCATGGTGGCTTTGAGGCTGTGTGCAATTCCAACGCCTAGCTCCGCAGCAATGCGCTTGGTCGTTTCTGAAACGTCCTTGATGTATAGCAGAGAATGCCATATCGTCGGTGACGTTGATGCTCGAGTTCTCTGGTGGCCACCGCGTAGACAGCGACTTATGAATGCCCTCGGATACCCATTTTGCATAAACTGGTCGCAGAGATAACGGGCCTCACGTGCTCTGTCCTCCGGTTTGCTGCAATAACTTTGGACCCGTTTGAATAGCGTCTTCACACAGCTTCGTTTGGCGTGCTTGAGACTATCGTAGTGCGCCATAAGCCGTGACTTAGAAGGTTTCCACTTGAAGACTCAACTTAGACCTTGCAATCAGCCCAACGTTTTTGTGCGTTGGGTGGCCGACTGGTGAACGGAGAGTCCGGCTACAATGGTTCCTTCCTAATACATTTTTTATGACACTCCTACTCAGTTGGAATTCGAACCGCCCTTTTCCTTGTTGTGTGAAATCCTAGTCCCTTGTGCGCAGACCATGGGGTTTGTGGTGGTACGCCTAGGTGCGGGTTCACGCCGCGCCGGCCGCCTGCACCCTACCCAGTCTACGGTCTGACTGACTGTCATGACACTGGGCCCAAGTGTGAGAGGAGATGGTGTGGCAGATGCAACGCAAGTCACTGTCCTCACTCCCGCCATGCTATGGGGCACAGGGTTGACATCGTCGGAATCGACAGTCTAAATGTCATGAAGGCCAAGCAAGAAGACTCAACCATTTTGATTTCACACGCCTTGGAAGAATATTGAAGATAAATTGGCAGAAAATGAACCCAGACACTTAGGCACCTGCAAATCAACCCAGAGATCTTGGATGACGTCTCTCGAGATCGACAGGCGCAAAGACTGGAGCCACTGTCTTCGAAGCCATCCGAACAGCTGCCGTCAACTTAAGGGGAAGGAGACACATGACTCAAGTGCTACAGACCAATGACGCTGGCAGCCAACCTCCGCCATCCCGCTCACACTGTTAAGGGACTCCCTGGCAACACGACTAGCCCCTCTCCACAAGCAACACCAATAGACACTTCTACCGGCCTGTAAATCATTGCCGCCATCACCGCCACCATCAACGATGTGGACTCAATTCAAACCTCCCATCATTGCAATCGCGCTTTCTCATCATGCATGCAGTGCGGTCGGTCGGTCACTAGTGAATCCATGGAAGAGGTTGGCGTGCCATTGTCAGGAGACCCAACATACATCTGTCGCACCCGATTCACCTATCTAAACTGTCCATCGACGTTTTCCTGACGCATGGGCCTGTCGAAGGCGCAGTGTTCGACAAACGAGAAGCCCCATATCACAAGCCAGGGAAGGCAGATAAGGTTGGACAAATTTTACCGAGGCGAAGTGGAGTGCTGGCAGTTTAACTATCCGTCTCTTCAGGCGAGCGTGTGTGTGTGTGTCAGTGTTTGCTGTTGAGGTTCTTAGCTTCCCAGCGTGTGTGCGCGACTTCTCTCCGTCTGCAGCCAGTTAGCGAGGTAACAGGGTTGATTAGCAGGTGCCAAGTCTTGGGCGGCTCCAGCCGAAAATCGATCGGGAGCGTGAGGCGGACAGAAAGGCTGCACTACAAATCTGCGGCGACGGCGGTCGGAGAAGCGGACTCTCACAGGCATATTCGGCCATATGCGTCCTCATGAAAAACTTGCCTCACCAGCACCACCTGCTGTCCAGTCAGGCTGCGTGTGGCTAACTTGTACTTGATACGGCTGCGATCATGCCTGATCTAGCCGGCCTCGATGATGTCCCGAACTGTACCTCGCCACGCGTGACGATCCGCGGCAGCAGATCTAGACAGCTCAACCCATTCCCTTCGCCAACGACGGAGACCGAATACCGAGGGTCCAAGAACCACCTCCATGTCTTGACGAACTGTGTCGAGCCAGGTTTTGAACTGACCCCCTCTTCGACGCCTCCAATGAGGCAACGGTGCCGGATCGAGGGCAGTAACACTGAGCTTCTGAGGTGGACGACGAAGAACATGCCCGAACCATCTCAGTCGTCTTTCTTGAATGGCCCGAGTTATCCTTGCGATGTTGTCACAGCGAGCGCGGACTGTCTCATTTGAGACGAAGTCGGTTATCTTCACTCGAAGGATGATCCTCAAGCAGTGGTGGTCAAATACCTCCAGTTTTCGCTCATCCTCTACGCGCAAAGCCCAGCATTCGCAACCGTAGAGAAGGACAGACCGGACAGATGCAAGGTACACGCGAATCTTAGCGGCGATGGAAAGGTCACATCGGCTCCACAGGCATTTCCGAAGGCTTGAAAAAAAACCAGCGGGCAGCATCGATTCGGGAGACAATGTCGTCCTTACTCTGTCCATTAGGCGGCAGCCGCGCCCCGAGGTATTTAAAACTGTCCACTTCTTCAAGTTGACAGCCATCAATCCCCAGGGGTGCCTTCTCCTGGTCAGGGATGCAGCTTGAGAACACTTTGGTCTTCCCAGCGTTTATGGACAAACCGACTGATTTAGCGACCTCGTTCACCCGTGACACCAAAGACTGCAGATCACCAAAACTTGAAGTAAGTAAGGCGATATCATCGGCATAGTCGAGATCAGTCAGTCGATGTCCGGGTGCAAATTCAATGCCGTCACTGTCGCGTAGGGCCCTCCCGAGGATCCAGTCAATAGCGTAGTTGAACAGTATGGGTGACAGGATACAACCCTGTCGGACGCCAGACTGAATACCGAACGGTTGGGAAAGATTGTTACGGGCCAGGACTCTCGCAGTAGTGGAACGATAGTAGGCCTTGAACAAGGCGATGATTTTTGCCGGTACACCATCTAGCGCCATTATCCGCCACAGGGACTCACGGTGAACGGAATCGAACGCGGCGGCAAAGTCAACGAAGCAGACGGCCGTCGGTTGTTGATAGCTATGGCGAAATTCGAGAATGCGCCTCAGTATGAATATCTGATCTGCGCATCCACGTCCAGCACGAAATCCGGCTTGGTAGGGCCTCGTCCTTGAGTCACGCACAGCCTGGAATCGCCTGAGTAGGACAATAGCGAAGATCTTCGCAGCAACATCGATGAGACTTATGCCGCGGTAGTTCTCGCATCTCGTCTTATCTCCCTTCTTGAGGATAGGTACAAGGATGCCGAAGTGTGGCTAACGTAGAAGAAATAGTGCAGCTCTGTCAGTTGCTGCACCCAACACAAGCGCCAGATTACTAGTCGACTGGGACAGTGGACTGGTGCACGATAGAGGGAAGAGATAGTGACGTCGATAGTGAAGAACTCATTCCCACGTCATCGTAATAAATCTGACGCGCCTCGACATCCCCACGATGTGCTAAAAGCCGTGGTTTGAAGGGTTGCCATCTAACTAGGTAACTCCGTCCTCGTGGTTAGAACTGCAGGTATGTCGAGTGACTGAATCGCGGACCGAGAGACAAGCTAAATGGTTCCTCCTTAATGCAGCCCTCATGCCACTCTCACGGGCGGGAGATGCGAGTTACCATCTCCGTGAAAACCTGGCGCACCGAGTGGATATCAGGTCGTGTACGGCACGCGTAGACGAGCTGTCTAGCCTGCCCAACCACTGAGCCCGAGCCCCCCTCCGGTCGTCTTGACATGGCCTTGCCGTCGGAGCCTGGTGGGTGCGGGAGGAGGGAGTGCGGTAGATACTGCACAAGTCTGCCCCACTACAGATTAATGCGCAAGATGAACTTGTGGCGGGAAGCCATCATGACCGGTCTGACGTCATTGTTCAAGACCTCGCTGACTCAAGGTCATTCACCCTTTTGCAGTGAGCCGTTCCAGGCGCACTGACCTGAATTCACACGACCAACAGCTCGGACATACCTGCGCCAGAACAACCACAGCTGCCCATGAGGCCACTTGAACGCACCGCCCTCTGCAACCGCAACCTAAGCCACTGGGACACCATCCTTGGGCAAATGCAACAAACACTGACTGGACACTACTTCAGCTTGACCCACAAGCCCACAAAAGCGGCTGCCACCACTATCTCAAGGACTCTCAGGTATGACTGGACGCAGTCAACACCAACCCTGGCTTCGCCAGTGGCCACTGCCGCCTGAGAGGACCACTTCGGCTTCTGTGCACAATAAACCCCTCATTCTGGTTCCTCCTGTTTTCTTCTTACGACTTGGGATTCGATCTGGTGGTTGTAACGTTCAGAGCACTTATTCTCACTGCTGTGCAGTTACAAACTGAATATTAGATGACTTCCGAAAAACCTTCGGTCTTGACCTTCTCGATTTGTTCTACACCACCACCTGATTGGTGCAGCAGTGGTGACGACTTCCCTGCGTGTCTTCTCAGCACGTGAGGGAAGGGTGATTGATTGAGGTACAACCGTCCAATTTTGTGGCTCGTTGGCCTTGCCACCGTGTGAGCTGATAGTTGCGTTGTCTCTGGTCTACTTGACGGACGCTACTATGAGCTCACCGCGACCATCCATCCCCTGTCTATCTAATGGCACAAGTCTGGACAGCCTGCCGTCCAGCTGCTCCCTGTCTACAATGGCTGCTGCGCAGGAGACGGGGAAAACGGAGACAGCGAATGCAGATATGAAGACGTAGTTGAGTAACTTGGGAAGCCATGTGGGATTCAGTCCGATCGTTTCGCAGCACAGCCTTTGACCGTGGACGGCGGAAGCCTTCATCCCCTGGGTGCCAGCCGCCACCTCGTCTTTACTGTATTCGTACCTGCATGTACATATAGTAGATCCCACGAATATGCACTCCCACGGATGACTGGTTGGCGACTTTGATACGAACTAGGGCGCGGCAGACCAGCCAACCTCGTCTAGGTTTCAGCCAGCAACCGGTCCGGCTTCTTGTCCAAAAAAGCTCCTCTCTCAGCCTTCGCTGCCCAACTTCTGACGTTAGAGCTCGATGTAGCGGAGCCGTTGGCTCCTACAGCTTCAGGGCCACTAGTTTTATTTATACCTGCGTGCCTGGTTCCTTGTCAACGTGTCCGTTCCAACAGACAACAAGAACTGCCTCCCTCTATGGAGTGCCACTTTCCATTCTGGGTCCGAATACGTAGGCCCCCCTATGAAATTATAAACCATGAGCAGCAGATTGTTAATGATAATACAAAGTCGAATAGATGTGGTAAAGGTGGGGTCACCGATCTTGTTGGAGCTTGGGTCAGAGACCGTGGGACGACAATTTCTGATTAGGTCATTTTTAGGCTAGAATCACTCATTATATTCTAGTATGCTTTCCCACTACATCACCGGTGACCAGCTACATCTCGCAGCTCCTTATCTGCCAAACACCGGTGCGTTCACTGGCATCCACTGAGGGCTGTCTCACTATCGACCAGCCCCGAACCCATGTTGTGACCTACTACCAACTCTATGTACTACCCCAGGAGTTGCGGGTCCCAGTTTTGCTGATATCGCCGAGTTTCTCATAAGTGATTTCTTACAGAACTAAACTACCCAACCACCACGACTTGCCTCTCAGCCCGCGGGACAGGGCTATCCTTGCGGCTGATAACGTTCGATGATCGCCCAACAGCATATCAGATTGATTATGGTGGCGGCAGTAGAGCATAGTCGGCCTGACTGTCTCTTCTCCCCTCGTCGAGTACTAGTGCCAAGTAGTGGTCAGAGCAACTGAAGATCAGCTCGGGCGCATACGGCGGCGTGAAACAAAACCCTCATCAGTAATATGTCTGGTCGTCTTGGGTCTGATAAAGCAGTGTCGGCTGTTTTTGCGACGCAATACCGCATTCACAGAGTAATGGCGTTGTGATCCCAGGGATCCCTAAGATAACAGATCACGATGCACGAAGCGCCGCATAACTCATCTCAATCACCAGGTAAGAGGCTTCGCACCATTCCTCGGCAAATTTAATCGTTCATGCTGCTACACACGCCGACAGACAAGAATCAGTAGCGCCTGTGGCTCGTCATTTCCGGTTTCCCGAGTTCTTGGGTGTCGTGTAATTCCCCGCTTCTGTCATGGCCAAAAATAACGAACTGCGCGGATGTTGGAAGGTAGCTGGCACGTGAAGCCAGCAGAACCCAGGCAGTTTCGCGCTGGACGCGGACACTCCGGCGCACTCTGCAACGACACCAGCAACCGATGGCCGCTGCTTTGTCGAGTTGACTGCAGCATTCGACTCTGCTCACCCCCAGTCCTCCGTCGTACGTTTATATTGGACAGCACGCCCGCAACAAATATTGTGATCGAGACTTACTATCCTCTCTCCAATGTCCGTTTAGCTGTCAATAACAATCTCACCCAGTCGTTCGCTACTAGGCTCGAAGCCCAGCAAAGCTGCATCCTGCCACGCGAGGAACTGCCCGATCGACCTCTGGTACACCGACAACACCACCCAGCCGGAAACCTGCGATGACCTACTGAACGCAAGCGTCCCGGACGCATGAGGCTGTCTGACCGTAAAGGCAGCAGGCAAGATTTCGTCGGACCGCATTGCTCGTCAGAAGGCACCCCTCCTTCTTTATGGCTTGGTAGCTTCCAGACATCTGAAATCTACGTTAGCACCAAACTGAGAGTGTGGCATCGCCTTTGGGTCGGCGTATCTTACACAGTTTCCGGAGTTCTGCGCCCTAAACTCTTGCTTTCACCGAACGACTGGAGGGGCTTCCAACGCCCTGACTCGAGGAACTTGCTGCTCCCGCCAAACCGGCGCTGCTCTTGTCATGAAATCATGTATTAGATAAATAGACATTTTGTAATAATTCCCGAAAGCGACAATCGCTGCGTCTGATCAATTTGCTACCGCCATGATAGATCCGGCTCCTGGTTACTGTAGGACGCGCTGTCCGGCTTTATAGGAATGCATTTTACTAAGAGCAAGTGGATACGCATCGGCATTGAAATCAGTCCGACTAGCTAAGAGGCAGGGAATCTGGAGTGGAAGACTCGCCGTCAGGAAGCGGTTAAGCACGCCGATGCGCGTAAATAAGTCAACGCGTAGTGCTACTCGAGCCCCCATCAGGAAGGGTGTACGAGCCCATCACTCAACCAGGTCGAGCAAACCCCCTGACAACAGAACTGAGGGTAAAACAATTCGGGCGTCGAGAATCGCGCAACCCCTTGGCCCGTATCATCGCGTGAAGACTGACTCCGCGTTGTGATCGAATCTCTTAATTCCCCTCCTCTCACTCGAAGTAAAACCAGACCACCCGCACCCGGCCACAAAACAGCTGCCCCCCGCAGGATTCTTCTGCACAGCCCCGGCTGCAGTTATTGTTGAGTCCGCCAGAAACTATTATTCGGACTAAGTGACCTGCACCGGTGATTTTTAGGTACGAGGACCGGACTTTCGACCAAAGAGACGCCGGGACAGGTAGCAGTAATACATAACCCTAGCAACTTGCCTGAGGCGGGGGCAGCATCGAGCACGACAGCCCCGGACGCCGAGTAAAGCCTACACCGCCACCTTGGCCTGATAAACTGTCCGACAACGAAAACCGGCATCGCGCAGAATTGACTCGGAAGTGCTTTTCGAAATTCGATAGGGGCAACTTTAACAACCTGTCTCGACTCCTCGATCCGACCGTCGTCTTCGATTACGTATGCTACACAGCAGTGTGTGAGCAGGGACGGTGACTTGCACGGTCCCTATCCCAACTCCCGAGCACACGGATCGGAAATTGGAGAGCCGAAGCAAACCATTGGCCGGAAGTAGTCCTGTCTCTAAGATTAAACCTGACAGACCTTGCGTCCCCTTTACGTACTAGCACACGCTGAAAGTCGTTTCGGCCTGGCTGGCAGAGTCAAAGCAGGCACTGTTACGGGTTCTTGCACATCGCGCCCGCGCGCAAATCGAAACTCATGACTCCCCGGCTGACTTTTAAAGCACGCCGAGCAGGCGCTTTGTGATTCACATCTTTATCAAAAGAAGAGTAGAAAATCCCCGCAGAAAGCGGGACAGTTAAAAAGCATGCCCAAGGCGGACTTGAAAGACCCAATTCTCGAATGCCTCAACACTCGCGCCGACACGTTGGAACCAAATACACGACAGGTTTGCGGAACTATTTTAACTGGACTACACTCTCAATCACCGGAGTCCAAAGCCCCTCCCAAGCCTCATATACCTTAACAAAGTGAGAAACGCCATCTTCCGCGCGACATCCGGGAACTCCAGATCGACAACCGTGATACGCACCACCGTTTCATCACGCCATAAAATGTCGTGTTGGCGCTCTGGGACCAACGGGCGAAGACCAATGAGAATGACCATATCCACTGTGACTGGCATCGTGTCCCCGCAAGAGGGACATGAATGTTAGGCGTGAAAACGGTCAACCACCTGGCCTCTGGGCCAACGGAGCTATGTCCGCGACGACAGAAGGCAGGACGCCACGAACTAGTATTACAACTACAATACCACAACCGAACATAAGTCACGCTTACGACTGATATTTACATGACAGAGGGGTTAAAAGCACCACGTGCCTGGTCACGGAGTATTTATGAAAGGCTCAGAATAAAAGTGACGCAATCCCCTTACTGGCAACATTTGAAGCAGGGAGGGTCCTTGGCCAGAGATAAAGCCACACTAGTCCTCAGACAGCTATGCCGTCAACCCGTAACGAGGTAGAAAGAACACCACAGTCCTGTAAAATGAAAACGCCTTACAAACATGAATCCGAAGCAAGTATCAGAGCAACGAAGGTCGAGGCCATTGCTTTACTAGGCAGTGGGTTATTTACAGCAAGTTTGAAAAGGATGTGGTTTGAAGTATGAAAATGCAAATGAGCAAATGAGATAATTACAAATTTAAAAACTAGGCCTTCACTCTATGGCAGTACTACTGTTGATCTTTCTTCTCCGACTGATCCGAACTCGATCCGCTGGACCCACGGCTTTCGGCCATCTACATCGAAATGTGAGCAACGGAGAATAATTAAAATTACCTTCCGATATGCAACCTCAAATAACTTCAGGGAAGCCTGTTGAAGTTCATCGGTAGCCTTCTTGATAGATTCACTCGTGGCATTTTCCTTGTCAGCGATCTTCTGGCGCAAATCCGCAATCAACTTTGACAATTTGTCACGCTGGAAAATAACCATGAAGAACTATGCAAACAAACCTCCTCCTGCGGCAAGTACTCTTTATACTCTTCCATTTTAGTCTCTGTGTCGTGTGCAATGCCCTCGGCATGATTAAGGGCCTCTACTTGGTCCCGGCGCTCCTTATCTGCCTCGGCATATTGCTCAGCATTTCGAACCATGTTCTCAATTTCGTCTTTGCTGAGGCCCCCACTAGACTGAATGACGATTTGTTGTTCTTTGCCAGTACCCTTATCACGAGCAGATACGTTCACAATACCGTTCGCGTCGATATCGAAGGTGACCTCGATTTGAGGAACACCACGGGGGGCAGGCGGAATGCCAACCTGAAAATTATGGGCGGACGTGAGCATCAAAACCCAAAGAGACAATAAGAGAAAATGGCACGGAATTTACACTGAGTCACGAGTAAGCGGGGCAGCCCCACAGAGCCTGTCGAAGGGAACAGGGGCTAGGAAACCTTCAAATAACTGCTACCTGACCCGTGCGGTGCGCGTACGCCTCCGAATACGGGCTGATAAGCAAATGGGTTGTCGAATTTCAAATTTACAAAGACAATGTAGGATTTATGCAGACATCAGTAGCCTAGGGACAAAATCCACAGGAGACATTTTAAATACCTGAAATCGTCGTAAAGAAACAAAGTCAGCATTGTAAAGCAGTTTGATCACGCCACACGCGTGAGGGCAGGGATTATGAGGAAACAACACTTGTCGACGTCGAAGAAAACTCGCAACAGCATTTCATATCACTACAGTGTAAGCAGCAAATGAAGCGAAAAGCAGCCGCAGTCTTTTAACGTTACTATAATCTGGAACTTTTAAAAATGGAATCCCTTGCAAACGACGATACCAGGGGGTTTACGTTAGTCATGATGTGTTACTAAGCTGAATCCATTTTTCTGCAAAAAAGCACTAGTTTAGCTTACCAGAGAAAAGCGACCAAGCAACTTGTTGTCGGCTGCCATCTCTCGTTCACCCTGGAAAACCTTAATCTCCACTTGAGTCTGACCATCAGCAGCAGTTGAGAAGACCTGAGATTTCTTGGTGGGGATGGTAGTATTGCGGTTTATGAGCTTTGTAAAAACTCCTCCCAACGTCTCGATACCAAGGGACAGAGGTGTCACATCAAGGAGTAGAACGTCGGTGACGTCACCGGCCAGGACACCTCCCTACAAATTTGAAGATGGAAGGTTAACAACAGGCATCATGGTACAACTTAAATGCATAAAAGCAATCTTCGAATTCCCAGTAAGACCGGGACGAATATTCACAATTGATCATTACCATGACCGCTGACCAGCTTATGACAAACTAAAGTACTACGTGTGTGGTAAAAACGGTATATATTGCCGTTCGCGAAGGCCACTTGGCTAGCGCAGTGCAAAAAACGCATAGATGTAGCTAGACACTTACTTGGATTGCAGCACCAATAGCAACAGCCTCGTCCGGATTGACGTTTTTGCTTGGAGTTCGGCCGAAAATACTCTTTACAGTTTCTTGAACCTACACGCCACATAGAACAAAGGTACATTTACCTTTGGCATCCTCGACATACCACCAACCAAAATAACGTCACCAATAGAGGAAGGCTTTGCCCCGGCATCTTTCATGGCCTTTTCACAAGGCGCAACCGTGCGTCGGATCAGTGGGTCAACCAGAGACTCGAACTTCGATCGGGACAACTTTATATTCATGTGCTTCGGGCCTGACTGATCCATGGTGAGGTAAGGCAGGTTAATGTCAGTCTGAAGCGAGGAAGACAACTCGATTTTGGCCTTCTCAGCGGCCTCCTTAACGCGTTGCAGAGCCATAGCATCCTTTGTGATGTCAATGCCTTGCTGAAATTTTTAATGTTTTTAAATGCTACTAGCGTACTTCTTTTTTGAACTCCTGAACAAGGTAGTTCAGCAGGGCTTGATCGAAGTCTTCACCGCCAAGGAATGTATCACCATTCGTCGACTTGACCTCAAAGACACCCTTCTGAATCTCCAAAACAGATATGTCGAAGGTTCCACCACCTAAGTCGTAAACAGCAATACTGCAGAGGATGGAGGGTAAATCACTGGCTTACGTTTTGTCTTCAACGCGATCAAGGCCATAAGCCAAAGCGGCGGCTGTCGGTTCGTTTATCACACGTAGGACATTCAGGCCGGCAATCTGACCAGCATCTTTTGTGGCCTACATGGAAATCAGAGCATATCGGGCGGCTCACCTGACGCTGGGAGTCGTTGAAATATGCAGGGACAGTGATAACAGCATTAGACACCTTTGAACCCAGGTAGTTTTCTGGCGAATACACAAATGAAAAGGCCACCTACCAGCAGTTTCTTTCATTTTCATAAGCACAAAGGCCCCAATCTGGCTTGGAGAATAAGCCTTGCCCTGGGCCTCAACCCAAGCATCGCCATTAGAGGCTTTTATAATCTTAAATGAAGAAGTCTTCATATCCTTTTGGACCTCCGCATCATCAAATCGACGGCCAATGAGGCGCTTGGTGGCCGAGAGCGTATTTCTCGAATTGGTAACGGCCTGCCGCCTCGCTGGGGCGCCGACCAGTCGTTCGCCTTCTGCTGTGAAAGCAACAACCGAGGGAGTAGTCCTAGCCCCCTCGGAATTCTCCAAAATCTTCGGCGTTTTTCCTTCCATAACGGCTACGCAGGAATTTGTCGTGCCCAGATCAATGCCAATTACATGGCCTTTTGGTGCGGATGAAAAGTTTTCACACGCAAATCTCAATCCACAGGCCTGCAAAAAGAAAATATACGAAAAATGTATCCGTACCAGAGAGCGGCGATTAAAGCTTCCTAGGTAGCGCATCATTGTCGGAGGAGGAGTCGGAGGAGGAGAAGGCACGCCAAAACAGTGAAAGTCTAGATTAGTAATCGGCTGGTTGGTGCGTTTAAACAAACAGTAATTCCTGTACTGCTTAACTAAAAACGGTGAAGAAAGCAGCGATTGAGTCTATAATCAGCCATAAGACTGTGTCAGTGGGATTTTGGTTTGAGGTCAGCGTCGCTTTGGCCTTATTTGTCGGTACGTCCTTTTCGTTCACATGGATGCGTTTATAGATATTTTCATCCGTAGCCCGAGGCGTGCGTTTAGTCCGGCTCAGTTCAGTTTATTGAGGGAAATAGACGTAAGCCCTTAAGTACCCAATTTACAACGTTAAACCGGGTGCGGTGTAAAGAGAAATTATCCGGACCAAAATACTTTAAACGAACCCATGATACCATGACAAAATGGGAGTGAGTCTTGGAGGATGAGCTCGATCTCTCAGCGCTCTCGGTCATTTAGGAACATAAATATGTAAGGGCTGTTTTTAAGGCTTTGTTTTGATGGTGACACCATAGCATCTGCAGGAAGGGCATTCTACGATATGGCCAGATATGACAGAGAATGAGAACTTCCGCACACCCAGCCTTGCCTGCTGAGTGTTCAGTTTTAACAAGTGACCACGGAGGTTAGTGTTGGTAGCGACTCGAAAAAAGTACTCAAATGCCAGGCTGCAGTCCAGCCCTTTAATCGCGCAGAATACTTGCAAGGGATCCCAGCAAAGTTGCTCATAACTCAAAATAGAGGTTCAGATTTATTAGGGAGGTGGCATAGGGAAAGGAGCTCTGACCCCTTACATTCTTTGTGGCCTTCCTCTGAACTCTTTCAAGGCAATTCTGGTCTTGGACTGCCCACGGTCTCCAGGCTTGTATGGTGCACTCCAAGTGCGACCTCACGAATGTTCCGAAAGTTTTTGAGAAAGCGTCTTCGTCAAAATCCAAAAGTGTACTCTTGATGGCATACAGTATGAACATCAAGCTTTTTGTCCCTCTCGAATAATGAGCGGGTGGTTTTAGAGAGTTCGTCATCAGTACACCGAGGTCCCCTAAGACTACGACGTCTCGTAGGGCAGCACCGCCCAGAAAGTAGTCCCTTGTGCTGGCAGATCTGACTGTGTTGCCTAGACGAATTATGCTACACTTATGAACGTTGAACCGCAGGTACCAACGGTCTGACTACTCTTCCAACTGATTTAGGTTCAGCTGCAGTCCCTGCTTATCAGCAGGGCCCCGAATTACACTCTGTGTCTACATGTCGTCGGCGAACATTGTTGCTTCGCATTCCAGAGCTCTTGCGCACTTCCAACTTCAGTCGAAATATCACTAATGTAAAGAAGAAAGAGTAGCAGCCCCCGAGCCGTAAATCTACATGAAGACATAACGCTACTCTTGGATGATGAAAACTCCACCTACCATGTTGAACCTCACCCCCATAAGCATCCATTTTTTTCCACTCAAACACTTGCTGTGTCATAAGAATATGAGTGAACACACTGGAAGTCATTGGCAGAGAAAAACGTTTGTGAACTTCCGACTTCAGTCGAAATATGACTGCTGCAAAGAAGAAAGAGTAGCAGATCCAGAGTCTTGTATCTAAGTGCGCCACCTGTGGTCGAGTGATTTGTCGATTTTAGAAGTTCTTGCCGTATTTTCGTTATTTCCAGTGTTTGAGGGTGCTGTGGGTTGTTTGTATATTCCTGTTCGCTGTAAAGAAGATGAAGATCCCATCTCTGGGACAGTGGGTTTATTAGTCTGAGCTTTCGGTCTCGTACAGGAGGCCATCGTCAGAGACTGTGAGAAGGCAACATCAAATGAGCGCTTTTTGTGGTCACGCCATGAAGGGGGGGGGGAGATATGAGTGCAGCGGGTGGTATTCTCGATAAGTTGCGTCCCACGCCGTCTCACGGTGGCGTGACGGCGTGCACCCTTGGCTGTAAATTGGGTCTCGCCCCTTGGCCGCGGGAACGGAGCGCGTGATAGCAGGGGGTATTTCAGCGTGCCTGTTGATAGAGTTGGTGCCAGACACCCAGGCCTCTAACAGTTCACGTCCTGTCTTATTGCTGGCCCGCGCCAGCCGTGCCAGCCGCTGGCCAGCCGTGTTATTTTGAATGGAAAATTGAGAACATTATGGAGTCTTCTGATCCAAAGGGGTCGAATATCGTAATTATTATATACTTATAAGCATGGACCTTGGACAAAGATCTATTAAAGCGTCTTTGGATGCTGCCTTATATCTTTCAATCATCACAGGCAATTATGCTGGAGAAAGCTGTGCAGTAATCCAGGAGAGGTAAAGGGTACTTTTTATACCAATATCCCTTTAGTGCAACCAAGTTTGTAGCGACTAAGCAGTGTGAGTAAGTGCTCTGTGCACTTCAACCCTCGGGTCAAATCAGATTGGAAAGAGAAGACGGAAGCCACCAAAATGGGTGGTTTATTGTGCACAGAACTTGGAGTTGCCCTCTCAGGCGACAGTGGCCACTGGTGAAGCCAGGGCTGGTGTTGACTGCGTCCAGTCAGGCCTGAGAGTCCCTAGGACAGTGGTGGAAGCCACTTTTGAAGGGTCGGGGACCAAGTTCAAGTGATGCCCAGTCAGTGTGTGTTGCATTTGCCGAGGGGTGGTGTCCCAGTGGTTTGTTTCGCTGGTTTCAGGGGGTGACGCATGGGTAGCTGCGGCTGTGCGGACGCAGGTATGCCGAGCTGTCGGTCGTGTGACTTCAGGTCAGCTCGTCTGAAACGGCTCGCTGCACGGAGTGAATGACCTTTAGGCAGCGAGGTCTTGAACAATGACGCTAGACTGGTTATGATGGCTGCCCGCTACAATTTGCAATTTCAACATGTCAATCCGCAGAAGCTAGTGGCTGTTGACGATATTTGTTTAACGTGGGGGGGGGCATACGTCGAGAAAAAGAAAGGAGTTGGAATATTGTTCTGAATTACTCCACTGATGATAGGAGATGTTTCTGAGACAAAGCTCCGCAATAATCCAACTGGGTGCACATTAGTATGAACAATCAGGTTCGAGTCTCAAGGGTTGATTTACACCTCTAATTGTCCTTTTCGCTTCGGAACTTAACCTTGTCAAGGTTCGTTTTAAAACTTCCCACCGATAGTGACGTCACAGCATCCACGGGGAGAGTATTCCATGGTTTGAACACCCTGACAGAGAAGACGGATTTCCACACATCAGGCCTACCCGCTGAACGCCCAGTGTTATTAAGTGACCTCGGAGGTTGATTGTGGTAGCATATTCAAAATATCCTACAGTGCCAGGTTGCAATCCAATCAGGTTTGTTAAGTGAGTTGCATAGTGAAAAGGGGCTTATCCTTTTACCAGTTTCGTGGCTCGCCTTTGGACGATTTCAAGAATATTTTGATCGTGAATCGCCCACGCTCTCCAGGCTTGCCAGCCGTAATCAAATACGACCTCATAAATGTTCAAAAGATCTTGTAGAAGACAATTTCAACGAGGTCCACAAATGTTCGCTTGATGGCATACAGTACGGACAGTGCTCTTATTGTCCTTCTAAAGGAATGAAGCGATGGTTTCGAGGCGTTTGTTGTTAACACATCAAAATAGCCGTAAAACTACAGCCAAGTGGGAATATTATCGGTTGGAGAGCCAAATGATGTCGTGCACAGTTGGCCTTTTTTCAGACAGAAAGACAATAGGTATAAAAACGAAGCTTGAGCAGGTTTTTCAAATCTCCAACAGGAAATCCTAGACATGGATACGAAGATGAACAGGCTAAAGGTACTAGCTCATTCTGGACCGAGAAAGGGGAACAACCGAGGCCATTGAACAGAAGAAAAGCTCTCGAAAATGGCAATAGAAATCCTATAACGAGATGTCAGTCATAAGGAAAAGAATGCGTAGCTAGGAGTTTTGGTCAACCAAGGAGTGAAACTTAGGACACGTTTAAATCCCGACCGGCCACCAAACCAACTGCTAAGCGTGCGCGTTCATTAACAAAGACTGTTTAAGCAAACAAACTTAATGTTTTAAGCACAAAATCCGGCGTGCTTGCGCACAGAAAGTCGTCGAATCCCGTTATCTTAAAAAAACCTAGTTGTCTACAGCACCGAATCTCATGAAACCGAAGAAGACACTGAATTAAACAATGAGACTTATGCGAGCAAGTCTTTCACACACAAGTTCGACGTTGAAGAGAGCGATTTAGTCAGGTCTGTGTCAAGAGACAGATAAAACGCAAGTGAAACGCAAACGAATAGAAAATGGGCCGAAACGTGACATTCGTCGTCGTCGTCAGCTCGTAACTTTATACAGGAGCGAAATCACTGCGACAGGAAAGACTTTCTGGACCGAAGACAATGCCTTATAGTTCACGAACTTCCCGACTCTACAGTCACTACTACCAAAAAGCGAGCCTCGACAGACCTAGGGATAATCGAAAGTTCCCTTACAAACTTTTGCAGACAACTGAGGAAATTTAAGTGCTCTTATTTCGATTTGGAGAACTCTCGGCCAAATAGCAGAGCGTCCACGTTCTGAACCGCTCAGTTGGCCAGTCGGGGTCAAGTCAGACTCATTCAGCGCCGGCTGAGCACAACGACATTATCTGCGCTCCAGCCGGGATCACTTTGACGTCGACACCACTTCGCAGTTACTATCTCTGAAGTTGCCGCTGGAACCGTTCGTATAAAGTTACTTTCTGAGTCTCTGAAATTTTTCCTCATATGGAAATTTAGCAGAAGACGAACTTTACATGGGATTTTTTTTTCGTCGAAGTCTGACGGACAGCGTAGTCGATTCGCGCGCAAATATCAGTCTAGGCAAACAAGTCATTGGCATCCAGGAAGATAGGGAGTTATTCAGGCCCCTCGATATATTCAAAACAACTTAGTCGCTCCCACATAAATTTTATACAGTTCAATTTTTTTCCTAAAGTGGCTTTAAAAGAAGTGCATTTTTCGGCTTTTTGGTCCGATTATTTATCATACTGCATCGTATATAGTCAAAAATATCTT